GAATGTAAAAAAGTAAGTATATTACGTGATTATATTCAGCACTTATTTTTTTAAAAAAATTTAAATTAATAAAAATAAAAACTGATATATTTATAATTTATACGATCTTTTCTTTTTAACGTTTGGGCTAGCTTGTCAATACACTACTGGATTCGAGAGCAGATCCAGAAACAAATCCAGATGTTTAAAGTGAACAAAGACAAATTTATTGCAATTTATAAAGATAGAATTAGCGAGGACTTCCATTTCCAGTTTGTTGAAAAGTTGTGTAGCTAACGGCTGCGACACAGAAAACATTATAATGTGGCGAAACAAAAATGTATGTACATATATAAAACGAATGAAGAATGTAAAACATAAACTTATGTAGGGGAGACTGAAGCTAAATGACCCCAGAGGTATGTTGCTCATGTTGCTTTTTTATGTTTATCAGGCACATGGATATAAAATCGCGAAGTGATCGTTGTTTAGGATTAAGGTAAAGTCGTTACGGTGGGGCGCTGTCGCGACAGCAAACGCCCCTGGCGCGAGCACAAAACAGCCCTCGGGCTTGACCCGAATTCGCCCAAGATCACCCGGTTGTCGCGCCTGTTGGGCAGTGATGTGACAGGTATTTAGCACGAGGTACGAGTTAGGATAGTTCCCGAGAAACGGTATAATATGTTGTACAATATGAAAGACTTTATTGCGAGCACGTTTACAATGTGTCACGGGCGAGATCAAGGACGGAAGTGAAGAGAGGAGAAAACGTTAGTTACTATTACAACAGAAAAGATACGATAGCGCCCTCAGTTAGCGGTAACTAAAATGAATGTAAAGGTGTCAGCACTGCCTCTAGTGCGGAAGAAACAGCGCCACTTGTAGGTGCAACTTGAAGTTATAGGGCGGTCATTATAAATCTCCCAACATTCCTCCTTAATGACCGCGGTACGTCGTCAAGCTGATAGTCCAATCTTGTTTACGAGTGTTTCCAATTTGATGCTCCCAACAGCTTATGCCCGGTTTCTTCACTGTTGGATAACTTTATCCTTAGGTTAAATTCACTCTTCATCTCTTTCTAAGAGTTAGGTTAGAAAGAGATGAAGAGTGAGTTTATCCTAAGGATAAAGTTATCCGACGGTGAAGAAACCGGGCATTAGTCAGTCCATCAGCTAGCATCTCAATAGTAGGACAGTATAGTAATTTCACCTGGTTCCGGTGACAAAGCTCCCTAATGAAGTGTTCTTTCGTGTCAATATGTTTCACGCGTCCACTGGCTCTTTCCACTTTTACGAAACTCAAACAGTTTTGGTTGTCTTCGTTGATCGTTGTGGGTTCATCAGGTGGCTCGTCCAAATCCGCAAATAAACGCCGCAACCAGATAGCCTCCTAACATGTCACAGCCAGGGCGTTGTAAAATAAAGCCTCGCAAGTTTGCCTTTTGCTCATCCATGCAATGGGTCCACCTCCATAGAAGAAAATATATCCTGTAGTTGAACGTCCGCTGATTCGATCTCCACCCCAATCCGAGTCAGAGAGTACCCCACCAGCTTCCAACCATCTCCAGGTCCAAATCGTAGCTTGTAGTCTTTATATATAACGGATGACTCTTTTTGCTGCCATCCAATCCATCTTTGTAGGTGCGCTGACCTTTCTGCCTAATAATCCGATGCTAACAGCAACATCCGGCCGAGCATTGACTGCCACGTAGAGTAGCGCTCCCACCAGACTTCTATACAGCGTCATGTCCTGCAGCAATTTGCTCTCTCCGTTCGCCACAGTATAGCCTGGATCCATCGGAATCTTTGACGGATTCACATCGCTCATACCAAATCTGTGAACAATGTTCTCAATATAATTAGTAAGACACATACTATATCGACGATGTCTTCACCGCTGCCATCGGATCGAATAATAGTAGGTTTGCGTCCGAACAAGTTCTCCGTCCAACGAACGTAATGCTTCACTTTACTTGCTGCTTCAGACTTCTCTTTCAGCAAATATACGACTGTAAAACGACTGTAATCGTCGATCATGGTTATGAAATATTTATTACCTTCAAACGTGGTAGTTGACATCGGTCCACAGAGATTGGTGTGGATTAATTCCAATGGCTATTTTGTTCTTCGATCTGCCGACTTGGAAAAAGGCATACGAGCAAGCTTGCCCTTGAGGCAACATTTGCAAACGATACGGTTACCACAATCAGTAACGTTAAATCCGCTCGCCAAGTTTTTCGCAGCTATCGCTCGAATCACTTCCGGATCCCGGTGTCCAAATCTCCGATGCCACGTATGCTGACACGTTCGTGATGATTACCGACAGCTTTCAGGGACTGGTTCGATATCTTCAGTCGGTATAAATTTCCGAGTCTTTCGCCAACAGCTATTACATTTCCAGCCGCGTTCTGGATCCTGCAGTCAAATTCATCAAAATTTATAGAGAATCCTTTTTCTGCCATTCGACTCACCGCAAAAAGTCCTCCCTCGAACTCAGGAACATACAAGACATCCTTCAAGGTTATTTTCACGGGCTTGTCATTGTCATTTACACCTATGACTATTCCGTCGCCGAAACCCGTCATCTTTGCTCGTTTTTCGTCCGCCAATGACACGTCGGACACTCTCTCTGTGAATAATGAAAAAAAACTTTTATTATTCGTTATATGACACGTCGCACCGAGTAGGAGGTGTTTTGACAGTTCTAACTCGGGGATTTGAGGGGAGTAAGGGGCGGGGAGGGGTACCGCGGGCAAGGGGGTGTTGGGGGGGACCTGCGTTCCCAGCAAAGGGTTCTGGGGGGGGGGGGGTCGGCGAGCGTGTCGGGACATGTTGTTTATTAAATATTGATAAACATATCGTTGACAAGGAGTACCGCCGAGGGGGAGGGGTGTCCGCGTTCTACGCCGAGGGTGGTCCGCGGGGGGGGGGGGGGGGGCGCGGGGTTGGGGGGGGGGGGGGGGGGGGGGGGGGGTCTGCGTTCCCGGCGCGGGGGTATTACAAAGGCTAACGGGCGGCACGGGCGCCGTTCGGCTGCTGGAATTTTATCGGCAAATATAAACAAAATAGCGAGTTAAACACTTGACTCTGCAATGATCTCACCCTTCTAGAACATGCGAGCCATCATTCGGTTACGGCGTCTCACACTACAAAAGCGAGCGCCGATGGTCCGACAACGGTTTAAAGATAAAATAGTCGAGGTAAACAATTGATAAAATTTGTCACCGGCGACGATTTAACCGTTGCGGAGTCCTCTTCATGTTTTTTCTAGGAAGAGCCGCTGCCAATTACGATTTAACCGTCGCAGGCGGTATTCGGTTATGGCGCGGCATATTACAAAAAGCGAGCGCCGATGTCCGGCTGCTGGAATGTATAAACAAAATATGTCTAACGATAATTATACAAATGCATAGCATCCATTGTCGCCAAGATGATTATGGATCCACATCTTGCGGATCAGTCTTCGGCTAATTTTCGCGACGCGAACGTACATATTCGAGAGTGAAGGTTTTTGTGTCAAGTGGGCGGTATAAAAAAAACATTTTTTCGTAACAATGAACAAAAAAATAAAAAAAAACATGGAACATCTCGATAAAACGGACCTGTTGGAACGATCCGACCAAATCGCTTCCTTGGACGAATATTTTGCATGGACACGGCGATGCGAGGAATTTATTAAGCAGCTCGAAGAAGACTGTCGTTCCAAACGTCCGCGGCTCTCAATCACAGATGAGATCCGCGTAAACAGACAATCTTTAGTGGCAAAAATCGCGCGACTCGAAGGTGCGAAGACTCTATTACAGAGACAATTCGTACATATTGGTGGTGAGTACGCGGGCACTAGTAATGACGATAACGCGGAAAGACTCGTTTGGCGAGAGATCGATGCCGCGTTTGAAAGCCGTGTATTGACTGGTGCGGTGATAAATATCAATTACATCAAACCGCAAAAATTTCTCGAAGACGCTGAAGTCATCGTGCTCGATCGTGTGCGGAACGTCATGCAAAGACACGCAAGTGTAAAGATAAACACTGTGTTCAACGGCGAGTTTGTGACGGGTGACAAACGTGCGAACAAAAGTGTCAGCACGGGAAACTGTGAACTTTTTCGTGCGTCCGATCTGCGCGAGTGGTACGAGCGACACGTTATCGAGCCTACTTTATTGCGTCTTGAAGAGTTTCAGGAACATGACAGCGGGTGGGCGTTGTCGCGTATACTCAATTTGACTGTGAACGTGAACAAATACAATCCTTTGCACGCGGGATGTTACATCAATTTACCTGAGAAAATTTAATCGAAAAAAGCGGTGATCAACGTGCATTCGATGGACAATGCGTGTTTCGCGTGGTCAGTGGTGGCCGCTTTATATCCAGCCGAAAGAAATTCAGAACGGGAATCCTCGTACCGACATTACACAACAGTATTAAATTTACAAGGCATTGAGTTTCCAATGACTTTGAAACAGATTATAAAGTTTGAACGACTCAACGATATATCCATCAATGTGTATGCCATCAAGGGAGAGAAGACGCCAAACGTTCTCCCGATACGGCTTACCGATCTGAAGAGAGAAAAGCACGTCAATTTGCTGTACATGCAGGATCCGCGAGACGACAACGTGGGACATTTCGCGTGGATAAAAAATCTATCGCGTCTCGTTAGCTCGCAATTGAGCAGGCATGATGGTCGGAAATACTTTTGCGATCGGTGAGTACCTATACTCTTTTTTAATAAAATTATAAAATATTTTTAATATAAGAAATTAAAAAAAATGTGTTTTTCTTTTGCAGTTGTTTACATTATTTTAGATTGAGCGAGAAATTGGAAGCCCACGGAGTAGACTGCCGAGAGATAGACAACTGTGCCATCCGACTACCGAGCGAGAACGACAAGTGGCTGAGTTTCAAAAATCACAGCAGGAAGAAACGAGTTCCGTTCGTCGTGTACGCCGACCTGGAATGTACCCTCGAGAAGACGGATGCGGATTCGACAACATCCACATACACGTCTCAACATCATTGGATATTTAGCATAGGATATTACGTGCGGTGCTCGTACGACGACTCGTTATCCGCGTATCGGTTTCGTCGCGATAAGGATTGCGTCGCGTGGTTCGCCGAGGAACTAAGATGTTTAGCACACGACGTAAAGACTATCTTATCCGGTAATGTTCGCATGACAGAATTAACGCAAGACGAGCGGGAGATATTTTACAGCGCGACGCATTGCCACATTTGCGAAAAACCGTTCGAGCCAGACGACGTGCGAGTACGCAATCAGTGGCCTAGTTTACACCGTGCGACCTAATCGCGACCTGACCTATGCCCTGACCTAAAATAGGCTTCTAAACAAAACGTTTACATCATGTAGACCTATGATACTTTTGGGTCGAATATAGGTAAAAATTTAGTCCTCATCTGAATGCCATCTGTTGAAGAAGATTGAAAGGTTTACGGACTTATACATAACCAATATCGTTTGTACACTTTGTACTTTGTATCGTGTTGATCGTGTCTATTTGCTGTGTTTGTTGAAGCCATCTACCAGTATCTATGGGTACACTTTCTGCACTTTAGGTCACCTGCGTTTACACGCGTTACATCATGTGGCCTAATTTAGGTTAGGGCACGCGAAAAAGAGACCTGACCCAAGCGAGGTCGCAACTGTTTACATCGTCGCGACCTATCGTGTTTGGGTTGAATATAAGGTATAGGTCGCGGCCTAAACGCACGGTGTAAACTAGCTCATATATTTGTCATCTGACCGGTCGTTATAGAGGTCCCGCGCATTCCAACTGTAATCTAAATTACACAGATTCGCATTACATTTCAATAATTTTTCATAATTTATTGGGTTACAACGCGCATTTTATTATCACGGAAATAGCTACAGCGTGCGAAGGACACGTAGAGTTACTTCCAATCACAAAAGAAAAATACATTTCGTTCACGAAACACGTTAAAGATACCGCAAAAAAATCAGAGCGAAGCGACATAAAATTACGGTTTATCGATTCGTATAAATTTTTTAGTAGCAGCCTCGATAAATTAGCATTTTTTCTATGCAGAGATAAATTAAAAATTGTACGTTCTCAATTTTCACAATTATCGACCGAGGATTTTGATTTTTTGACGCGAAAAGGCATATTTCCGTACGAATACGTGGATTGTGTGGACAAGCTGGAGGACACGTGTTTACCACCGCGCGAATCGTTTTACAGTTTCTTGACCGGTGACACCGTATCGGAGAGCGATTACGAGCGCGCGAACGTCTGGCGACGGTTCTCCGTTCGAACCTTGGGCGAATACAGCGATCTGTATCTAAAGCTCGATGTCTTGTTATTGGCCGACGTTTTTGAAAATTTCCGCGACAGTTGTGTAGCGAGTTACGGGCTCGATCCCGCGTACTACTACACTTTGCCAGGTTTCACATGGGACGCCATGTTGAAACATACTCACGTAAATTTCGAACTGCTCACCGACATTGACATGGTTATGTTCATCGAACGCGGTATACGCGGTGGTCTGAGTCAATGTTCAAACAAATACGCGCGGGCCAACAACAAGTACATGCAGTCGTACGATTCATCGAAACCATCCTCATACCTGATGTATTTCGATGTAAACAACTTGTACGGCTGGGCGATGTGTCAGCCACTGCCCTACGCAGATTTTCGATGGGTGAAAGACGTTTAGAATTTCGACTTTAGCGCGATCGGTTCGGATTCACCCACGGGTTATATTCTCGAAGTCAATCTAGAGTATCCGCAGAATATACACGACGCGCACGCTGACCTACCGTTCTGTCCGCCGCGCGATAAACCGCCCGGCAAACGGCAGGACAAACTTCTCGCCACGCTGTACGATAAGAAGCGTTACGTCATCCATTATCGCAACCTACAGCAGTGCACGCGCCATGGCCTTTGCGTCATAAAGATACATCGCGTATTGCAATTCGCTCAATCTACGTGGCTCCGCACTTACATCGAGCTCAATACGAAATTTAGAACACTGGCCAAGAACAATTTTGAGAAAAATTTATATAAATTGATGAATAGCGCGGATTTCGGGAAAACGATGGAGAACGTTCGAAATCACGTCGACGTAAAATTACTGACAAAGTGGGACGGACGATACAACGCGGAGGCACTGATCTCGAAACCAAATTTTCACAGCAGGAGCGTGTTTTCGGAAAATCTGATAGCCGTTAAACTGCAAAAACTCAAAGTTGACAAACCTATTTACGTCGGCATGTGCATTCTCGACGTATCGAAAGTCTGTTTGTACGAATTTCATCACGAGTACATGTCTCCCCTGTATGACGACATGTGTAGAATTATGTACACCGATACGGACAGCCTTATATACCACATCAAGTGCGAGGATGTGTACGAAAACGTGAAACGCGATATCGCTAGATTTGACACGAGCAATTACGCGATCGACAACGCGTACGGTATAACGCTCGAGAACAAAAAAGTGCCGGGCTTGATGAAGGACGAGAATAACGGTGCGATCATGACCGAATTCGTCGGACTCAGGGCGAAAATGTACGCGTTGAGAGTGGATGGTAAAAAAGACTGTAAAAAAGCGAAAGGTGTCAAGAGCAACGTCGTAGCGCGTACTATAACGTTCGACGATTACACGAGATGTCTGCGAGACGAAATTGAAATGACGCGACGGCAATCCTGTATACGATTGAAGTTGCACGAGGTGTACACCGTGTCCGAAACAAAAATCGCTCTGAGTCCATACGACGATAAGCGATACGTTATACCAAATTCGACCGATACGTTACCGTGGGGACATTACCGAATACCTTTGTAACGTATGTATGTATGTATGCATGTATGTAATAGTATAACGTATGCATTAGTATATGTATGTATAACGTAACGTATTGTGAGTATTATATTACAGTATTGGAAAAAATATTAATAAAGATATTACACATGTGTATATTTCATATTTTTTACGTACTTTATATGTATTTCACATTATTTTAAACATTTTACATGTATTACATATTGCATTTTTTTATGTTAAGAATAAAAATACAGTTTGCACAAATTAAATAACATTGTCCTTGTGTATCCATGAGTTGTGCGATCCATCGGATCCCAGCCATTTAACGTAAACCTCATCACCTGCTCTTGCGCAGTACTTTCTCCACGAGATACACGTCCGGATAAGTCGCGCGATGCAACTCGTGCTCGTAGAACGCCCCGGCGACGGATTTTCCGCGATAGTCCTCGAGTAGATAGGTTGCAGGATTGGTACGCTGCACTTTAACGATCGTAAACACCTCGGTGGTCCAATTCGGTGTGTAGCCCTTCTCGAAAATTGTTTTGTATTTGCTAACGCGCACCAAGTCACCCACTTTGAATTTTGCCGGACCCGCGATTTTTATCGCGCTGTACACCGTAGCCAAGAGTCTTTTGGCTTTCGCGGGGGTAACGTCGACGGGTCGCATGCCGATGCTTCGATGCTTGCGCGCGTTGTAATCCGACACGAGTCGCGGCAACGCGTCGACCCACTTGTAATTTCCGTTAAGCGTAAACATCTTCCACATGTTGCTCTTTAACGTACAATTGAATCGCTCGATGACCGACGCCTTCAACACCGAATACGTGGAATAATGATTGATGTCGTGTTTTCTCACGAGACGTTGCACGTCGGTGTTGTAAAATTCCTTCCCCATGTCGGTTTGTAGATTACTAGGGCACCTCCCGCTGCGTTGAATTATCTCAGCGATAGCGTCGGTTGTCTCGCTGTCGCCTTTACCTTTGAGCGGCACGGCCCACGCGTACTTGCTCAACACATTGATAACGATGAGTATGTAGTGGTAGCCTCCGTTGAAACGCGAGTACGGACGCATCTTGACGATGTCAGCCTGCCACAGGTCGTCGTACCCTCGTACTATGACGTGTCTGCGGGGAAAATTTCTTCTCGCCGGTGCGTGCAATTCGTCCACCAACCGTCGCTTTTCGATATTTTTATCCGCATCGGTCGATTTTAACGGTCTCATGTTTCGTTGTCGCCGTTTCTGCTTCTAGTGCATCGTTCGTAGCAGTTTCTGAACAGTTCATAACCGCTTCTGAACAGTTCGTAACCGCTTCTGAACCATTCGTGAATCGTTCGACAGCCGTTCGACAATCGTTCCTGAATCGTTCGTTGTCGTTCGTCGTCGACGTTCTTTAGCCGTTTGTAGCCTTTCCTGTCTCCGCATAGTTCGCAGCTGTTTCTAAACCGCTCGTAATCGTTTCTGAGCTGTTTTTGAACCGTTCGATAACCGTCCGACAACCGTTTTTGAACCATTAGACAGCCGTCCGACAACCGTTCTCGAATCGTTCGTTGCTGTTCCTCGCCGTCGTTAATGAACCGTTGCTTCTCTTCACTCGCCGCTTTTCGATAGTCGTTTCTGCTGAACCGTTTGTCCATTGTTGTTCGTTGTCGCGTCTGATTCAACGATATTCGCACGTCGAAGCTTGTTTATCGCAGTTCGTAACGCTTGCAGATCTTTCTCGAACGCAGTCAGCTTCTCGTCTGATTCTTTTCGTTGATTGTTCAACATTTTAAAGAATTGATCAATGTATAGTTTGTTAACCGCGTCACCGTCAGTCTCAGGTTGCGCTACGCGACGAATCTTGCGCGACCTTGCGTCAAAGTCCGTGGCGGCGCGACACAGAGCGTTATTGCGCACGAAATTTCTCATTAATCCGCTCCACCGATGATACGAAATGGCATTCGTCGCGTCTCCGCTGTGTTCGAACAATCCAAATTTGTTGATCGGCATTTCGACGCTGATTGAACGGATCGTCGTCGCACCGTTTAATTTATAATAAGCCCGGCTTCGCGAAGTTCCTCGATGATCGACATGATCTCGTTGTCGTGGGCATTGTTGCCAGCTTGACGCGAAGCGTCGAGCAATTGCAGACGATCCACCAGCTCGTTGGGGTCATTTCAGTGCACGTAGTCGATCTTATTGTCGGTTAGCGCCATCGCGCGAGGCGCGAATAATCCCTTTCCGGATTTTTTCTTCTTGGATCCGGTCGACATCAATGGTGAGATTACATATTGATACTTCCCACGTTGCCCTTTACTCACTCGTGAAGATCGTGTTTGAATTTATGAGCACTTGTTGCCAACAGTATGCTCCTGTACTTAATCTTATCGTCCTCCGTGTAGAGCTTGTCATTGGGTATTTTCTTGAAGATCAACTCATAAATACCGGGTGTGCCGGCGTATCGTACGCCATCGACATAAATGTTATCCGCTTTGTCCACGTCAAAACGTTTATTACTGAGCATCAATTCATTATTGCCGAGATAAACGCCGTACACTATGTCTATTGTTAGAATGGCGCCCAAAACCTCTGCGATGTAAATTCGGCTCAGTGGACCCAAGTGATCTTCCATCGATTCTATAAACCATTTTCGACCCTCCGACGTTTGCAACCAATTATGAACGGTCGTCCCGATCGAGTCGTCCGTAGTTTCGAAAACATTCGCGGTTCCAAGAAATTCGGGACTTGTACGTTGCACGGTCCGCGTCGTTGTAGAGGTTATCGGTGTAGAGGTTAGGTTATCGGAGTAGAGGTTATCGGTATTACTATCGATCGTTTTGATTGATCAGATTTACACGGTGTCGATGACAGATCCGACCAGGAGTCTAATCGTTTTTTCTTTTTCTTCGGTGTAGCATCCTCTTCCTCCTCCCCGCGCTGTTGAACGGATAGCGGTTCGATTTTCGCGTTAGCGTCGCTCTCCGTCGGCTCCTCTTTTTTCACCGCAATCAAGCTCGAGTTGTCAACGATCTTTTTCAACGGCCCGATGAGAGGTTTAAAGTGCGTGTCCAACTCAATGTCCTCGATCTTACCGGTCTTCAAAGCGCGAAATTTCTTGCGATTCGAATTACTCGTCTTCGCAATCTCCTTCACGACCTTCTCGCGTTCGCGAATATTCTCGCTCCCGTCGATCGCAGCCATCGCGGAAAAAAAAGCAGAGTGTCGATCTCTTTTTGTAACGCTAACGTTTCACCTCCGACGAGGTATCGGCAACGACTGATCGCTTTTACGGTATCGCGAACACGTTAATCCTTTTCTATATCGACCGTTCAAAAGCGCGCTGTCCTTGTCTATCACTACGAATCCATACTTTTGTTGCCAACAATCGTGGCACAACGCGCAAAATTCATCGTACGACATGTCGGTTTTCACGTGATCGTTGTACACGTGTTTCAAATTGGTACCATCCTGTTTGAACAGGATCAGCAGATTCGCGTTGTCACGTATCAGATGTTTAGGTATTCTTGCGTACGTCTGACAGAGATAGAAGGAGTCGACGCTCGAGTGCCTGCCCATTGAGAAATACTCTCTCACAGCGTCTTGCTTATCGCACGCTACGTCATCGAAGACGAAGATCGAGTTTGGACGCGCGTCGCTCGATGGAATGACGTCACTGTTATTGGAGAACGTAAAGTAGATTTCGTCGATCGATGTCAATAAGAGATATCGATAGCCAGATATTGATATTTTAGTTGTTGCAGCGATTTCGAGTACACGTACACGTTTTCGAAACGTACACCGTGCGGACTTTCCAGCAAGCTAATCAGAACGTTGGTTTTACCGCAAATCGAAGGGCCGCAAATGATCGCGCGTATAGTATCCGGTAATCCAATCCGGCAGCATCGCACCGTATCTGCGCTTTTCCGCGTTGCCTCCCATCAACCGCGATCTGTCGTCGCAGTTCGTCACGCGAATCGCCAACGGTGGTCGCACAAATCTCATTTTTTTCCACACTGCCGACTTTCTAGCTGACTCGAACGCCTATTTATAGGCGGGGGGACCGCGAATCGTTCAGTAGCAAAAATGTTCGTTCTACTGTCAAGACCTTCCGATATTCGCGACTTGAGCGCCGGACAGCTGCAATTTGTGCCGAAAGCCGTTCTGCTGCAAACGTGCGGCGATCACGTCCACTACGTGTGGGACAAGCTTCCGGAACATATAAGGGCGGATTTGGAGGTTCAGACATATCGTTGCTGTTACGAACATTACAATCAACCGTGGCAGCAAACGCACGTCGACGGTCCCGCGCCAATGATAAAGGATTGCGAATGTCAACGAAAAAAAATGGTGGAGGCCTGTTAAATCGCGCGATAAACGCACTTCCGTTCGAATTACACATTCCAGCTATCAATTTTGCGGTCCGGGAACACGTTTACAAGAACAATTGGCGAGAGGCGATCAAGGTATTAATTAATCCATTGGACGCGGCGTGTCGCGAGCACGACATAGCCTATTTGCGTAACCGCGATCTCACCGAGAGACACGCGGCGGACGAGATACTTGCTGCGGAAGCGCGAAAACGCATTACCGCGAGAGATTCGACTCTCGGAGAGAGAGCTGCCGCTACAGCCGTCTGGGCGACCATGAAGGCTAAGACGAAGCTCGGAATAGGCTTGAAAACGAAAAAATCGAAAACGGTGAAGAAAAAAAAGCTAACAAAAAAAACGGATACTTTCAACAGCGAAACGAGGCGGCGTATTGCCGATTCTACCGTTGTTGGGAGTTCTCGATTCTCTGGCCGGCGGAGCGGCGGGAGTCGTAAAGGCCATGAACGATAACAAAGCCGCGCGGCGTCAGCTGGAAGAGATGCAACGTCACAATCGCGCCGTGAAAGGTCGCGGATTTTATCTTGCTCCGTACAAATATGGACGAGGGCTGTATCTCGGCCCGCACGAACGCGGGCGAGGAGTAGCGTCGAAAAAAAACGTCAAAAAAACGTTAAATATGCCCTCAGGTATTACGACTAACGGGTATTACGAGATAAAATACCCCCATGATAGCCATCCGTCGCGGTTGTTCCGGCACCATGCCCTTTCAGGAGTTCGGGCAGCCCGCGGAGCCAGTGGTTATCCGAGAATGCGTATGCGGCGCGAAGTTTGTCAATCCGTTCTAAGAATGCCCATGGGTCTTTTCCGTCGAAGTGTAGGCCCCATTTTCGCATTTGATTCACTATCTTGGTGGTGGGGGGAGCGGGGTTCATCGTGCGGTCGGCCGGAATTACTGTTACGGGGGATATCGGTGTTGTGGTGGGTACGGTCAGAGTGAGCGCGGAGTTGTCGGTCGCGTTCGCCTGGAACTTCTCGGGATTGGCGTCGATAAATTGATTTAAACGGCGGCGTAGATCGTCGATAGTGCCCTCGGTGTCGAGCCCGAGCGAGTTTAGTTCGGTTATCAAGTCAGCTTTATTAAGCTTATAGTAATATTCCTTCATTTTTCCCGCGTCATGCGTCTTATCTTTTCGGTCGTGTCCCTGTTCGGGCGCCATGAAACAACCTAGCTTCCAAAGCGCGGATCTAGCTCGCGGCTGGTCAGGGTTCGGAGTAGGCGCGGAGAAAAACACAAGACTTGGTTAAAACGTGAAACGTAACAAAGTTTATTCAATTAAGCGTAATTACACTGGCGTGCTCGCGGCGTCGATAGATATGTACAAAAATTCGCGGGTGCGGGTACGATAGCGGTGGTATATACAGAGGGTGGCGGTGATACCAGAGAATCGCGGAGTTTGCGGACGCAGTTGCGATGGCGACGATATACAGAGAATTGCGGAGCTCGCGGACGCAGTTACGATGGCGGTGATATACAGAGAGAGTCGCGGAGTTTGCGGACGCGGTTACGTCAGCGGCAATATACAGAGAATCGGAGATTTCACCCGGTGGCGTAAGGATCGGTCTAGCGCGAGGTCGACCACCGAGAAGCGCTCGGCGGAGGCTACGAGCGGCTAGATCGAAGAAAACGGCGCGAGTCCGGCCACCGAGAAGCGTTCGGTGGAGGCCGACTGCAAGCGTCGAGAGACAGGGCGTTTTCCGGCGAGAAGCGCTCTGCCCTCGTTCGGATAGCCTTGTGGATGAAGCTGGTCGTTTGCCGAGACACACTCGGCGAAGACAGAGTAGGCCAGAGGCGCTCTACCTTCTTTCGGACTGGCTTGGTGCGGGAACTCAGAATCGGTGCGGTCGGTGAGACGGATGATCAGGAATCGCAAAACGTGTTTACGACGCCCGGCTTATATACGCGTCGCGACGGCGTTACGGAGTGGCGGGGGTAGCGACGGCAATCGCGAGCGCCGAGACGGTGCGGCGGAACGATCGGTGATTACGGCGTCCCGACGCCGCGACCGTGTTCGGCGGTCTTCGGTCGCCTTTGGCCCGCTCGGCGCGTCGAGGCGGTCGCCGCGGTAAGTCCGTTCGCGGACTTCCTAGGTGGTCGGCCGGGCGGTCTCGGCGGGGTATTCATGCCGGAACAATGCAGTTTCAGGGGGTGCATCGTTACAAATTAATCGAGGATAAACATCAACAACTAAAGCAGGAGTTCAGATCACCATGAGTAACTTACGAGAGAGGTTTTGGATTCTTACTTGCAGAAAAGCTGTGTGGGCGGTAATAAATAACTATATAATATGCAAGCGACATAGAGTTCACAAGTTGGATACCATTCCTGGCAGTCTACTGAATGAACTTGTAAAAAAAGCCCATGTTTTTAAAGTCACAAGAATTGATTATATAGGACCTCTGTTTTTTTAAGAAAGTCACAAAAGCCACATCCCTTTCTACTGAAGCCTTTATGCAAGCCCTGCGTAGATTCGTCGCACGAAGACCTTAATAGTATATACGGACAACGGAACGAATTTTGTTGGAACTCGTAACTTACTCCACATGATCGACTGGAGCAGGATCCAACAGTTTAGGTTGGTGCAGAAGATAGATTGGCGTCTGAATCTTCCTTCGGCTCCTTAGTGGGGAGGATGGTGCGAGTGTTTAGTAAGGATAATAAAAGATTTTTTCAAAAAAACACTTAGGAAGGCTTGTTTGTCTTATAAAGAAATGAGCACAATTTTGTGCGATTGTGAGGCTATTATCAACTCGCGTCTCTTAATGTATGTAGCAAAAGACCCAACGCAACTGAAACCGTTGACACCGATGATGTTTTTACAAGAAACTTCTCAAAGTGAAGTACCTGATTTAGACAAACTAGATGTTAATTTGAGGATGCGTTATCGTCAGAATTTGCGAGACAACCTACGGAAGCGTTTTCGTTCAAAGTATTTGAGGCAACTATCTCAACGCATAACCAAGAGAAATTACGCTTCAGTCAAAAAAGGAGATATTGTTCTGTTAGGACAAGATAACCTGAAACGATTGGATTGGCCGTTAGCACAAGTAGTTAAAGTATTCCCTGGCCGAGACGGAGTTATAAGGGTAGTCAAAGTAAAGACTGCAGCCGGCGAACTCGTACAACCTATCCAGAGGCTATATTCATTAGAGATGTTCTCGACGACGAGAACAACCAAGCATTTTGTCGAGGCAGCAAACCAGAACAAGGAGGGAGACAAGGACCCCACTTCTCAAGAAATTTCGAAGGATGTCCGGACTAGAAGTGGCCGACTCGTAAAAACACCAAACAGATTAGGCTTTTAAATTTATTGTCTTTTATTTTCTCATAATGTACTTATTTAAAAGTTTTTTTTAGGTCTAGCTGTGATCAAAGACATTCTTTTTTAAGTATAAGTTTCTTTTTTTTAGGTCTAGTTGTAGTCAAAGGTATTTTTTTTCAAGTATAGTTTTTTTATTATATAGTTTACTTTATTCAGTTGTATTGTAAAGTATTCTCACTCAAGATGGGAGAATGTTAGAAATACTATTGACCGGATGTTAGAGATATTATCGACCGTCGATCCGCAGCGCGCCTCTAGGAGAGATTAGTAGTATTAGTATGTACATGGCTCACAGCTTTATTGTATGGCTTCCACGCACGACGTTACGTTGCACGTGCAATAAATAACTTTTTTGTAAAGTACGTGTATATCACTGTTCTATTTCTCAAATACGTTGAGACCGGGGCGTTATCCTTTTGACAATTTTAAGTTTGCAGTCCTTGAAGTGGTGTTCCTTTGAACGGCAGTTGACGCAGCCAGCGACGTACTTCTTACCCACGAAAGTGACAAAGGTTTGGGTGCTACGATCCACTTTGGTTGATTGAATGCGCTCGATAAGGAGCTTGGCCCGTTTAATGATGAGGTTCTTAAACATATCCTCACTGATTATCCTGCAATCAGCGAAGTACAACGGTGTTTTTCCGCTCGCGGTGAAACCGGGCAGAGGAGTGATGCCCCCCTTATTATCAAAAGATGTGTTTCCGACACGGTCGCCACTCGATTTTTACCCAACAAACCGAGAAAGGATTACTTCGGATATTCTAAATTTCCCAACCTTTATGACGCCCCGCTGATTCCTCTTTCCCTTTTTCTGTTTCAAGTCGCCCCGTTGCCGCCGGATCTAGGATCGCCGCTGGACCAAGCACCTCGGACCGTCTCTGGACTGCAGCTGTGCACCGCCGACTTCGCCCTGGACCTTCGCTGGACCGCCTCTGGACCGCCTCTGGATCTCCCCGAACGGATATAGGATCGCCGACAGGTAAGTATCAGGATCAGGTAGGTATGTCTTATAGGTAAGTTGACCGCACACGAATGAATTTAAGTACTCTGATTTCTTTTAGATAATAAAATATAATCTATTTTATTCTATTTCCAGATACACTATTCGTGACAAAGTCTTTAATTGTTAACGTGTCTACCGCGGGATGTTCAACGCCGAGAGTCTAAGTTTCTATCGCAAGGTTTTACTGACCGAATCGACTGTTCTCTAGGCTCTGACGAAGAATTCTTCGATGCTTGGGCTCCATTCGGGCTCCCGACTTCGGAGATAGCTCTCCATTGCACTCTGGCGTGGCTCCGCCTCTTCACATCTGTGTCGCACCTGTCTGTCCTACGATGGCAGGTGTGGCACGTCGCTTCTAGAGACCCTATAATAAGAGACCCGACAACTGGCGGAAGTGTCCACAAAATGGCCGCAAATGCCGTGAACATATGGAGGGAGATTGCATCAGAAACACAGGACTCTTTACTCGCGCTGTAGCACGTGTAATTCGTACATGCCTGCGATTAACGGCGAGCATTTCTGACACGGTAACAAAGAAATAATATCGAACAATTGAGGCCCAACGTATGCTCGCTCGTGTGTCACGTTGTGTCGCGGCCGTATATCATCTGTGATGTGATCTTGTGTCGTCGCACAATACACTGCTGTGTCGTGTAAGTAACATGATTTATTTATTTACACACATCAATCTGTGATAAGTAATAGCTGTATCTAACATGTTTGCACTATTTTGCAGTTTGATTAAGAAAGTAGAAAAGTATTATCTTCGATGTATGTTAATAAATATTTACAATGTTGAATGTCTTTAACCTTATTTTGCAAAGTAATTAACAGCAATAAGAAATGTTTATTTTAAAAAATTGTGTGTAATATGTATAAATATATGAAAAGAAGAACAAAAAATATCTAAATAATTATTTTTATAGATATAAAAATGCCAGCTTGCTGTGTGTCAACACGTTTAAAACACACAAAGAAAGGAATAAAAATTTTTATGGCTCGTTTTCCAACGAATCCAGAAAGAAGAGATGTTTGGATTGCTAACATAGGCAAACATAGACTAAGGAATTGGAAATCGACAATAGATCTGTTTGTATGTGAAGTAAGTAATATGTGAAAGATAAATTAATTTCATTTGAGTTATAAAAATAAAAATACTGACAATATATACAAATTTTTTATAGGTACATTTTGCAAATGATATGTGGGAAAAAGTACGCGATGACACGAAAAGAAAATTAAAAGGCAACGCTGTGCCCACAATTTTCCCTGCTCAATTGGAAATGAGCAGTGCATCTATTAGTACAAACGTGAGTTTCCTTTCTTTGCGTATCTTAGTTAAAAACAGCAAAAAGTATTACCTTTTCATGAAAATAACGAACTTTTTAGGAAAAAACTAATAAATCTTCACAAAGGCAACCTGGTGCATTTGAAACATTTAATGTTCATGAAGACAAGCAGCAAGAGGACTGTCTCGGAGCAGATGTTCCTGATATTATTCCATTGACATCGAGTAATGTTGCAAATTTAATAACAATTTATTACTCTTTCTGTGGTTACAAAATTTGACTTACTATAATATATTACCCTTATGTTATTCATTATTTATAATTACTTATACGACTTCTTATATTATCTTGTAGATTCCTCTATTCCTACCTATTCAAGAGAAATAAGCAACCAAGAACTCAATGAAGTTGAACGATTAAAGAAAGAGTTAAAAGAAGCCAATATATAAAACTTAATTTGGCCCAGAAAATAATTTTGAAAAGTAATCGATCCGTATATGTGTTAAAGAAGCATAATAAGAGGTTGAAACAAATGAAAAACAATTCAAAAATCCAAAATTATTTGAGATTGGAATCATCACTCAAGCAATTGTTTAATGACGATCAAATAAGAGCTCTCATGCGTCCATCCTCTCGCGGCCATATGTGGTCTAATGATACTATTAAAAAAACACTTCGATTGAAGTATGCATGCGGTTCCAGTGGTTATGAAGAATTATTGAAGCAAAAACACCCTCTACCGTGCGAACGTATACTTTAAAGAAAACTAGAAAGTATCCAATTTCAGGAAGGAATTTGTGACGACATTTTTAAATTATTAGAAGACAAAGTTACTCAATTTAAAGACGTTAGAGAAAGAGATTGCTCACTTGTACTGGACGAAATGTCCATTGTTCCAGGCCAACAATTTGATCCATCCACACAGTCATATTATGGAACTGCATCGTTTTGCACGCGTAAAGGTTTGCATTTTAATAACGAGTTTAATTAGCATTTGGTACTATTGAATTTTTTTGTAACATTCTGAAAACTGCTAATCGTACATCTCATTAATGTATTTTTTAAGATTCAAAAAATACACTAATAAGAGATGCAAGAACTCATCGGGTGCTTAATAAGCTGATGAAATACTACATCCACCCATTTTTTCTATTTTGTGCATATAATTCTATTTGTGTTTCTAATTCTATTCTTTTGCATCTTTTCATGCATGTAGGTGAAAGAGTTGAAGCTACGCATGGTTTGATTTTTGTGCTAGCAGGTCTTTTCTCACGTTGGAAACAAAATGTTGCTTTTTATTTAACACCTGTTCGAGATTCCGTTAACGCTGCGCCGTCAGATCAGATGGCAGCATCGATCGGGTAACGACGCTAGATCACCGCGGCAGCTTGCGCCGCGCACGGGCGCGCTCATCGCCAACGTCTTCCTCGCGATATTCAGAGTCGTAAAAATGGCCGCGCAGTGATCAGACGCACGACGTGTGCTCTGTGCATTTTTGATTGTGACTACACATCGAAGTGCTCACCGCAGTGATTACAGCTGCCGAGATACTGCATTAACATGTAAAGCGACCGCTCATCCAGCTCTATTCGGGTACATCAACACGACGACTCAGGCTCACATGTGCGCGAGTGCCGACCGCCACGTGTCTCACCGGCTCACGGGCGATTCATCGAAGAGGACGGCACTTAATATAATTGCCTCTCATTTACACGGACTCTATACACATCTCATTTTATACACCGCTCATCGATTCTCAGGTCAGATTGTATCAATTTCGACGCATTAAAGACGCATTAAAGACGGCTCAGATTGTGGTCTGAGTTACACAAAAATAAAGTGAATATTTAGTTAACACCTTCCACGCGCGTCCTTCTCATCCCGCTTCCATCGCCGGGATTAATCAGCGATTTCGCGAACAACACCCAACAGCTATGATGGAGCAATTTTACAACCTATCGCACTTAAAATTATTAAAAAAGCTGAATCTATCGGACTTTATGTACACAATATCACAAGCGACATGGGCCCAAATTATTTAGCGATGTGGCGTGAATTTTGTGTTGGTTTCGCTGGGCGTTATTCTACAATAACGAACTCAATTGCTCATCCTATTGATTCTAATACTCGGAAGCTTTGGTTCATTGCTGATCCTGGCCATCTTTTGAAAAATTTAAAATTTTGCTTGATTAATAACAAAGTTATTACTTTGCCTGCGAAAATTGTTACTGACAATAATTTGTCGTCCTCTGTAGTTGATTGTTTGCATGTTACAGAACTTGCTCAATTTCAAGAAAATTTACAATTAAAACTAGCACCCAATATAAAAGTAGACGATATTTCGAGCGGCACTTTCAATAAAATGAAGGTAAACAAAGCAAAAAATTTTTTGTCTCGTGATGTTAGTGCTAGTCTACAATTGCTATCGACTCAAAATTCTAAACAAGCGTTCTGCACGACAGCCTTTTTTATTAAAGTCGTTTCTAAGTGGTTCACATTGGTGACTTCGCGTACTCTAAAAATTGCATTAGGGAAAGTGACAGGTGATAAATTTTTCGAAAAGAAATTTGAAGAATCAATTGCATTTTTAGAATCAATCATAGAACTTTTCCAAGAAATGAAAGTTGGAAATGGTACACAATTCAAACCTGTGCAACGTGGAGTGATAATCACTACCAAGTCCATCATTGAATTGTCGACCTATTTAATTAATGAAAAAGGCTATCAGTTCGTACTAGCAGGTCGGTTAACATCAGATTGCGTCGAAAACATATTTTCTTGTGTTAGAGCTAAACAACCCATTCCAACCGCCTTGCAATTCAAGCAAAATTTAAAAATAATCGCAATTTTAAAATATTTAAAACCTGTAGGTAATTCCAGCTACGAAGAAAACGACAGAATTATTGTTGGCGATTTTTTGAGTACACCTAAATCTAAAGAAATAAAAAACCGCTTGCCACCTGTTCCTGATTTGTCAACGAGAAAAATACACATAGGGGACATTGAACTGAATGTATTGTACAACATCGCCGGCTATATTCTCTCCCATGTTTTAAACAATAATATTACTTGTAAATTGTGTTTAAGTTCCGCTGGATCTCTCACATACAATCCATCCTCAAAATTTGCAAAATTTGTGTTGTTGAAATCTTTTCGACGTAATACGCTTTTTTTCGTAAATAACGCAACATTTGAGTATTTTCATCAGATGGAAATTGTTATGAGGCAGTACTTACCATATCTAAAAACAAATTTTAAAACGACTAAATTTAATTTAGTTCATTTTTTTTATGAAAAAATGCAGGCCATTGCATGCGAAACGTTGAGAAATTGTCACAACATAAAGAATAAGATAATGATGCGTTTTATTCGATTTCGACTTCGAATAGGGAATTCTGGGGGCCGTTTACCGAAAAAAATATATAATAGTAAAACTATGGCGATGCATGCGACAATACGATAATTTACAATAAATATAATATAGTTATATCATTATGTATATGTATGTATATATATATATGTGGGCTGCTATGCCACTTACGCTGGGGCGTCGCGTGCCCTTCGCAGAGGATATGCCGTAGAGGGATCGTCGAGTGATCTGAGAGACAGATGTATGTAATAAATAGGTCGTTTATTCTATGTCCTATAATACAGGTGTAGGTGTGTCAGTGTGCTGAAGAAGGCCCTGAGAAGGGCCGTGGAGGCGGCCCTGAAAAGGGCCGTTTGGGTTCTTCTTGTGCGGTGGCCCTGAGAAGGACCGATTGGTTTCTTCTCCTCCTAGTCGGGGAGTCGCTCACGCCAGATGATGCTCGGCTGCGTCTTCGTTCTCCGGAAGGAGCTGAACTTCCGCCAAGCCGGCGGTGTCCCTGGTAGAGTGAGGGACTGCTCCGGTTCCTCAGTCTGTGTAGACGCCGATGATAGTGCCGGTGGCTCCTCTGTCTGCGTCCCTTGTGAGGAAGTGACCTCCCACTCCGGGTCGGTCTGTACTTCCTGAGTGTCGCGTGGAGGCTGGTGTTGCACGCCTCGGTGAACACGCGCAGGAGGGATGGTCTGCGTCTCCTGGTGTACTCGCTCGGAAGGTGACGGTGGCAGAGGCGACAGGAGTGGAGGCACCGTCTACGATAGTCGAGGAGATGTGTAGCGCCGGACTCTTACGTCCCACGTTGAGATGAGCGCACGTGGAGGACGAGTCAGTCTCACCGGCGAGAGCTGGAGAGGGACGAGCTTCCACAGTTGGCCTGGACGGCAGTCCAGGGGCCGCTGAGGTTGTCTCGGTAGCGGCAGGCGGAGTGGCGCAGCTCGTCTCGGGGGTGGCCGTAGCTTCGGCGGCGGCAAGGTGACGGCGAGATCGTTATCAAAAATACTTCTCCTGGTCTTGGCTGTGAGCCTGAGAGCAGTCGAAAGCTGCCTAGGCCGTCGCCGTGTGGCCTTTTATTCTTCCCTGTCGGGAAATGAAACGCGAGAAAGTCTGCCACCTATCGGCGGCGCTCTCGTATAGCTTCGCGGGCCGTAGTCTGGCCCACGCGCTCGGCGCGTGATCGGTGGGCGCGCGCGCGGCGCGCGTACCGTATCGATTGTGCGGTCGGAAGACCGCCACACACATATATATATATATATATAATATTAAATACATGTTATCATACCTTTTTCACTTAATTTATTATTATTTCACTTATATGATATATGCATGTTTCAAAAAACGTATTATTCATTACTATATTTAAATAAATTCGGAGAGTGAGTGTAATTTAATCCAAATTGTCTGCTTCTTCGCGCTGGATCAGCAAGGGTTCCTATTGGGCGGCGCCATTTTGTGGACAAGTTACGTGCACCAATCACGCGGACTCCCAAGAAGTCGGGTCTCTCTTTTAGGGTCTCTAGTCGCTTCCGCGTTCCATTGCGGCAGGTGTTGCCGCGAACAAAAGGCCCATTGTGGCTTGTTATTCGCATTCCATTGTACCGATCAACATTTCTTGGAATAAAGGTTTTTGCCAAACTTCTCGACTGTTCCTTCTCGCATGTACCCAGTGTCCCGTTTCCTTTGATTACTGATTAAATTTCTATCAATGTGAACTATGTCACCATTGCTCTAATTGGAACGGGGACCCTGCGTTTACATAAATTTCCTTGCGACTAACGCTTCGCTCGCTGTTTCGTGACGCTGTCCGCTCACCTGGGTCATTCACGGCTCATTGCCTTATATCCGCGTGGTATCAGAAAGTACCCTTTGCGGTAGTTCCGTTTGCTTTACTTTACCCTGAATCGACTTATTTATCGTCCACAATGTCACTCCTGTCTTAATCGATTGTCCAGGTAATCGGATCTCGTCTCTCCGGTGACCGCTTTCCCGTGGATCGCGATTTTGGAGATTACGCGTTCACTTCGTCGGCCGATGATAATGTATCGCTTGTCGCCTCGCCTCTCGCTCGCCCGCATCGGCACGCGGCGTTTCACCGCTCGCGTCGCTGGCTGTTCGACGTCGCTTACTATGCTACCGTGGTATCGCCGCTTCGATTGTCGCGTGACCGGTTAGCCTACCGATGGTCGATCCCCTTTCGCCTCGGTGCCTGTTACCTGTTTCTACGCGCCTTTTGCCCCTCCGAAAGGTGGCCCCCTGTTATCGCGAACCGCGCCTCCGTGGTACCGTGATTTCGGGTCGCGCCCATTTGGTTCGTTGATCAATGGTCGGTATGCGCTATACCCGTCGCCTATAACGCGTTCGCACCCTTACTTCGCCCCTCGAACCGGTGGTTGTGTGAAATCGTGAACCGCGCCTCCGTGGTATCGCGATTTCCGCTCGTATGGGTTCGATTCGCGGATCGACGATCCCCTTGTATTTTTCGCGACATTAGATTCGCATCCATCCCCTTGTCCGGCCTCTCGGGTCGGTGGTCGCTCCGATCGGGTTACCACGCCTCCGTGGTATTGCCATTTTGGCTTGCGTGTGTTCGGCTCGCGGACCGATGCGATGGTCGTAATCTTTAATTCGTTGTTCCCCCATCGCGTTCGCGTCGTTTTTCCCCCGATCATACGCGTGGTTTCTCCGATCCGCTTACCATGTAGGGTGGCCCCTCCATTTCGACCGGTGACCTATTCGCGCGCACGCCAATTATCAATCTATCATTTGTACGCGCCGCTAGCCTCGCTGTCATGCGTGGGGATAGGTACGCGCAAACAGAAATACCTTTTTAGCTATCCGCTACGGTAGTTTTTTATTTTTCATTCGTGGATATTCGTTTTAGCGTGTCGCTCGCAATTCGCTTTACATGATACTCTCAGTCGGTCAGTTACTCCATCGAAATTACTCGTACCAGAAAAGGCACGCTATGAACCCTGATCTCATGATCTTGGGAAAT